AAAAAAAAAAAAAAAAAAAAAAAAGAGCAAATAAACATAAGAATAGACAGAGCCATGAAACAGAGCAGCACCCAAAGGAAACATCACAAATCAGACACCTTATCAAAAATTAGTATGCAGTACTTATAAATCTATAAAAAAATAAGACAGCATGGTATTGGCACAGGAACAGACATACATATCAATGAAACAGACAACTATTAATAATCCCAAAATATATGGAAATTTAGTATCTAATAAAGATGGTATTTTTTAAAAAATGAGAAAAGTTGGATTATTCAGTAAATAATACTGGACAACTATATATAAGCACCTAAGGAGAAAAAAAGTCGGACCTATATATATCACCAAAGTAAATTCCAGATGGATCAAAAGATTTAAATGTAAAAGCGTTAAAAAAACAAACAAACAAAAAAATCTACTATAAAATTCCATGGGAGGGCCGGCCCATGGCTCACTTGGGAGAGCGTGGTGCTGACACCACCAAGTCAAGGATTAAGATCCCGGGAGAGCGTGGTGCTGACAAGCCCATGGCTCACTTGGGAGAGCGTGGTGCTGACAACACCAAGTCAAGGATTAAGATCCCCTTACCGGTCATCTTTCAGAAAAAAAAGCCATGGGAAACACTTTTATAATCCTGGATTGGTGGGGGAAGGAGGGTACCTGTTTTAATGATTTGAAAGCTAGAAGCCATTATAGAAAAGATTGATAGTCAAGATGCTGAACAGTTCTGTCACTACAAGGATCCTTTGTGTTGTGACACTGTAACATGGTTTTGCAAGATGTTACCATTGAGGGAGAAGTGATTAGAGGGTAGATGGGATTTCTTACAACTGCATGTGAATCTACAATTATCTCAAAATAAAAAGTTAAGGAGCTGGCTGGTTAGTTCAATTGGCTAGAGCATGGTGCTGATAACACCAAGGCTCAGGGTTTGATCCTTGTGCTGGCTGGCCACCAAACAAACAAACAAACAAAAAAAGTTAAATTAAGAGAGAGAAAGAACGAGGAAGCTCTTTAATATCACATACCTGTGGGAAGGGGGAACTGGGAGGCTAAAGGACAGATGTGGGAAACTTTTCACTGTAAATCTTTTTTTTTTTTTTTGTAGATTATGAATTTTGAAACACAAAGAAAATATCATTCAAAAAAACAAAGCAGCAATTTGAGAATAAAATTTAATTAATTAATTAATTAATTTATTTATTTATTTATTTTGCCTTTTTCGTGACCGGTAAGGGGATCGCAACCCTTGGTGTGGTGTCGCCCGCACCACGCTCAGCCAGCGAGTGCACCAGCCATTCCCATACAGGATCCGAACCCGCGGCGGTAGCGCTGCCGCACTCCCAGCGCCGCACCCTCCCGAGTGCGCCACAGGGTCGGCCCAAATTTAGATTCTTGCCTTATACTATACATCAAAGTCAATAACCATGAATAGACTTAAAATTTAAAAACCGATTACTGAAAATTTTATACCTCTGGAGACAAACTTCCTAATCATAAGCTATAAATCAGCTAAAGATAGAAACAAAAAAAGAAAAAACCACAGATGAGATGAGAATTCTAGCAGCTATGTGGAAAAAAACCCAGGTCATGAGTAACTAAAGAAATGCAAATTAAACCAATGAAAGGACAATTTCACCCTCTTCCATTATATTAAACAGAAAAAAAAAAAAAGAATTTATTTTGAAGTGTTAATATCTAATGCTGGCAAGGATGTGATTAAACTGGCACTCCTACACTGCTGGTATTTATAACAACCATTCTACAAAATAACTTGGCAATGATAATCAAGACAAAATTTTACTCTCAGACAATAATTCTAGGAAATAATATGAAAATAAAAAAAAAATTAAAGATGCTTAATAAAAGTACCCCTTTCAAAGCTTCATGCCATCCAATAGATGGTCACCGGTCTTCTTTTGAGATCTTAAGTCACCCCAATATTCTTCCAAAGTCTTTAATACAAGGTCTCAGATTTTTTTCCAACCCAGTACTTGCCATTGAACAGCTTCAGGATAGAAATGAAACATGCAGGGGCCGGCCCGGTGGCGCACTGGATAAGTGCGCCGCTTGGGAAGCGCGGTGGCGCTCCTGCCCGAGGGTTCGGATCCCACATACAGACCGGTTCCCGCTCACTGGCTGAGCGAGGCGTGGGAGCAACACCGAGGGTTGCGATCCCGTTGCCGGTCCCCGGTCCGGTACGGGGGCAACACTGAGGGTTGC